GTCGTTGTTGTTGGCTGGTTATTTTCATAACCTCCTCTTGTCTATGTTCACCTGGAGTTCTGTCTTCGCCGGCTGCTTCTTCGACCAGTTTGTCGGTTTTCGCTTGTAAGTCCTCGATTTTGTGTGACATCAAACATAAATCATACAGGCGCGAAATCCAGGTCTTCTAGGTTCTTCACGTCGGTCCAGGATATCCCTGTTTTCTCGTTTCCCGCTCACTGTATGATGCTTAATCCAGTCAGTCCACCACAATTAGGAATATCATTGGTGATAATAAGCCAGCACACTTGTCTGACTCCTGTGTTCACTCCAAACGCCTCGCTGCGTTTCCCATTGTGGATCACCTGACATGTGCAGCTGTCGCACAGCTGTTGAATAAGGTTGGTGAATATTTCGGGTATGCCGTAGTACTCGAGTAGTTTCTAAATTACTTCGCGGTTGATGCTGTTGAAGGCCTTCTCGAAGTCTATAAAGTTGAGGTAGAGGTTTGATTGCCATTCCATGCCTTGTCCGATGACGATGCGTAGAGTTGCAATTCAGTCAGTACATGATTTACCTGCCTTTCCTGAATCCAGCTTGTTCTGGCCGGAATTCAGCATCCAGTGTGTCTTTTATTCTCTCCAGGATGATGCGGCTCAGCATTTTACCTGTGTCGACGGGAGCATGATTCCTCGCCAGTTCTTGCGGAGTGAGGCGTAAGTCGCCCTTCTTTGGTAGTTTCACGAGGTAACCTTTCCTCCAGTCAGTAGGCACCTTTCCCTCCATCCAGACCTTTTGCAATAATGGAGTCAGCATATTTGCTGTCGTCTCTTGGTCCGCTTTGAGTGCTTCAGGGGGTATTCCATCTGGTCCGGCTGCTTTTCCAGCTTTCAGAAGCTTGATTGCATTCAAGACTTCAGCTCTCTTTGAAGGATTGGTGTCAACTTGCAGTTGTGTGCGCGCTGTTGTTGGTATTTCTGGACTGGTTGCAGGTGCTGATCGGTTCAAGAGTCCTTTGAAGTGATCCGCCCATTGTTTAATTTGTTTTTTTCCTTGATAATTGGGTTCCCTTGGCTGTCTTTTATGGGTTTCGCTTGTGTTGATCTCTCCCTGGATAGAGATTTGGTTATCTGATATAATGTCCTCAGGTCCCTTTTGCCTGCTGCCTTCTCAGCTTCGGTGATCAGGTTGTCGTCGAATCGCCTTTTGTCCTTCCTAGCACTCTTCTTCACTTCTTTCTCCAGCGCTGTGTAAGTTGAGCTCAGCGTCTCCTTCTCCTGTCCGTCCTTGCATTGAATCATTTTCTCTTTCGCCATTCTCCTCCCTTCTATTAGTTTCCAAGTGTCCGTTGAGAGCCGTTCCTTGTCTTGTGTCTTGTTTCTTCCTATAGCCGTCGAACACGTTTTGTAGAGAATCGACTTCAGAAACTTCCAATGTTCTTCCACGCATGATTCTTCAGTGATGTCGCGTAGTGTTTCCTGCTTTGCTCTGACAGTTGCAGTGAAAGTGTCCTTTGTGGTTGTGTCCTTCAGTAATTGAGTGTTGAACTTGGATCGTGACCTATCCCCAGCTATCCTCGAGGCTTTTAGCCTCGCCTTGAATGTTCCTTGTACTGGAAAGTGGTCTGAACTGTTATAACTGTAGGGAATTAAATGAGGACGTTGTCGCCTTGTTCTGTCTGCGCCTGACTAATATGCCCATCTGCTTGTGGTACCTTCCGATTCAGTGAAGCACGCAAATATCAAAAGACAAAGACTGGACTACGACTGTGTATTGTAGTACAACAACAACGACAGAGAAATTCATGGTATTTATACATTTTACAACAATATAGACAGCTGACAGCATTTGAAATAATTGATCGTAATAGTTAATAACAAAGTGCGTGAGAAATGATGATATACCATCTATGCGAGATTAACAGTCAAAAACAAAATGTGTGGGAATGATGATATACCATCTATGCGAGATTAACAGTCAATAACAAAATGTGTGGGAATGATGATATACCATCTATGCGAGATTAACAGTCAATACCAAAATGCGTGGGATCCTATCATGAACCCACATCTGCTCCTCTCCTTGACCTTGTGTCCAGTAGGCTCCGTCTCTACTTTCTTGAAATTGAGATGAAGTCTATTTGGTTTTTGGTGTGTCCATCTGGTGAAATCCATGTCGTCATGTGTATATCCTTGTGTTTGAACACACTACCGCCAATCACCAAATCATTGAAGGCGCAGAAGTCTGAGAAGAGTTCGCCATTGTCGTTCATTTCACCGAGGGCCTCACGACCCATGGCGAGTTCTCTTCCTGTGTTGTCTCGTCCCAGCTTCGCATTCATGTCGCCCATCAGGATTTTGATATCGCCATTTGAGACGTTGTCCATTATTACTTGTAGTTGTCTGCAGAACGACTCCTTCTTCTCTTGTTCTGAGACGTTTGTGGGCGCATAGCATTGCATGATTGTAACCTTCCTTCCTTTTGAGTTGAACCTGGCTGTCATTATCCTGGAGGAGATTGGTTCCCACTTCATGAGAGCTTTGGTTGCTGTTGGTGACATCATGATGGCCACTCCCTCGATGTGCTCGTGGTTGCCTTCTGGGTGGCTGGAATAGATTATTGTCTCTCCAGTTGGTAGTTGGCACCTTCCAGTTTCGTTCCATCTGCTTTCGTAGGTTCCCAACACTTCTACTCTATATCTCATTTTTGCTGCTACCCAGGAAGCCTTTCTAGTTTCGTACATTGTACGAACATTCCACATACCCATCCTTATTTTTGCTTTCATCGAATGTAGACACATCGGCTGACTGGCTTCCCGAAGGCTTTCACAAGCCTGCGTCATTTCACTTCCCCGATTCCAGCGAAAAATAAGGCTATTGTTTATATTTTTAGAATTTCTAATATATTTGCGCGTTGAAGTTTCTGTAGCGATTTGGTCGGGTTTTACGGGGGTGGAGTTGCTGGCACCACGCCCCAACCCACCCTCTTCATCCGGGCTTGGGATCGGCAATAGAACTAGCGAGCTAGTAATCTAGGCGAGGTTGGTCAAACTCTAGCGATAAGCAAATATATCAGCAGCATAGAGAACGAGTGGCCGATGAAACATTGCTGGTATGACATCGAGGCGTAATTAGTGTAAGGCACCACTTCCCATGGGTAGAATTAAGTAATGCGGAATTCATCGCTCATACAGTTTGATCAAGCATGTATCCACCAAACTCATGAAATGTTATCTGGATAGACCTCCAAAGTAAAAGCATGTCAGAGTCTCAGAATGTTGTGGGCTTAGGCTGTGCGTCAGTGGCACAATGGTTAGGACTCTCGCCGACCATGCACATGGTCCCAGGTTTGATCCCCTGCTGACGCACACCTGATATCTATGGTGGGCCTGCAAAATTTGGGCTACCGATATCCATGCTGAAAATTCCATACTTGTACCAAAAATACAGTGTGGAATCAAGCTGTGAATCAAAAAAAAAATAAAAAGAAAGGCGTGCTGACTGGTTTTAGATGAACGTACTATCGACCAAAACTAGTTTGCATGTGTTGACTATTGGATAACATCGGAGGATGCACAAGCTATGAAGCGGCTGATCCCTGTCTGGCGTAGCAGTTTCATAAGGAAAGCTCGTAGGTTAGTTAAGCTCACGAATGGAATTGTTACATTTCTCCGTAAAACACTAGGTGAACAACCTTATTCTATTACGTGTAGACGCCCTATATATTTTGCTATCTTCATATAGTGGGGGAACAGAGTCATAGCCGTAGTGGAGATGAAGTCTGAACTTGCCAATGAAAAACAAAGGCACTTGATTGAAAACACTAGGCGTAGCTCTGGAAGACCGGATAATCGAAACGGCATTCTTGGAGAAGTCGTTTCTAAGGAGAAGCTGATGTAATGCTTCTACAACACTGTAGTTGTAGTTGGTGATTAAGGAACTCAGAAGGATAAGAAGGGTGATACCGTATGAACTACGCCTTCTATATGATTTATGAGGCTTCATTTGTCTACCGAATGAATGAATGCCCTTGCATTCTATCGACTGGGTTTCCAACCTCATTTGCTCTGCGTCGCAGGATCCCACTTGTCATCCGTACTGTCATTACGGATATCAACAGTAATGCTGGTTGCTATAATATAAGGTGGAAAAGTTTAAATTTTATCTGGTATGGATGGAAAGTTGGGAGATACAGAGTTAAGAGTTCTTTCAGGCTAGTTAAACTTGTTGAAGTTGCGTCTACTGTTAAGATTCGTGGTGGATAACAACAGCAGTAGTCGCAGCAACCCCTCAGAATAATTATTCCTTTCTGGTTGCAGAAGTGTGACGCGTCTGAGTTAGTCAAACCAGTAGATTCATAAAGTGTACACGGCTGACTGCACTGGTCCTACCTGTTGATTTCACCACTTTGTGAGTTTCGAATTCCGCCAATTTACTTTGTAGCCCATAGCATCTCCACCTAAGATTAGTGACCATTTACTCCTGAGAACGAGAAACTGATTATAGGTAACATAGAAGGTGAAATATAAAATTGTGGGTTTCCTTCCATGTGTAGCGAATCCAGAATTATTAACAGCTCGAGATAACGCTGTCGGAAACGTTGCTGACACAAGAAGAAGATTGCTCTGGAGCATGTACCAGCCGTAAACTTAATGTTAACATTCTCCATGGAAAATAAAACAAAGACTGTCGGATGGCTTATTTCAGACAACGGAAGTTGGCACCTATTGCCGATCCTTGTGTTTCCTAGTAAAACCATAACAAGAAGCGAGTGTAAAGAAATGTTGCAACGAACAGCTGATACTAAAATATAAATAAATACAATAAGGTGGTGACAAATACAAGAAGGATCTTTAAAATTAAAAATAATTCACATAAAACAACACCAGCTTTCAGTCATAATTTAGTTTGTACTGGTCGAAGTTTGATTGAATTTCGTACGATTTTGTTAGTCTGTAGTATATATTCACTGTGTTTCTTCCCATATTAAAAGCGGAACAGTTGAGTTCTTTGGTCGAAATCATGAAGTTTAAGTTCAAGGAGACCCATACTTTTGGTATGTTAATTACTTCGTATGTAATAGGTTTCAGAACAAAGACAACAAGACTCTACGAAGATAAAGAACAAATATGTTGGTCGTGTACCAGTAAGCGTTTATTTGAAATGTTATCGGAGTATATTTGGTTTATATATATAAACCAAATATATATATCATAATCAAAGTGTACTCAGTTATCTTTAGGTCCATATTTACCTAGATGCATTTTTTACCTCGAATTCAACTTAGTTGTGTATGACCTGGCATCTGAGAGACAGTGTAACTGCAATCATGATGTGGCTTTTTGATGACCGGAATTATCATGACACTGGAATCTAAGTGTGTAACTTAGGCAGTTTGAAAAAAATGTTTCAAGTGAATGCGTACTGAGAATTTTTGAAATAAACTTACGATCCCCTTCGACCCTCATACAGTTTCGGTGTGTAATTGTTATCTGTCGTTAACACCATCATAAATTGATTGCTCATACATCTGACAACTCAACAAAATAAAAGGATATGCGTCTGGTCTCATAATGTCTTCACTGATGACATATCCATTAGAACTACCTTTTTCCTTATCTGAATACTACGAATAGCGCAGAGTCTATTAGGAAGCTCTGTTGCCATGGTGTTTCTTTGTCAGGGTTTGAAACTACTCTTGGGTAGTTTACCAAAGAAATCAAAGCACCCATATGTTGTGGTGTTGTTACCGATGAACGTTCAATTAATTGTGCATCAGCAGGAGTCGTCCAGTTGATGTCCTGTACAAGTTACCTCTATAACTGGTTTTCCTAATTACGGTTTGCTTATGTGGTATGAGAAAGCGGGTTTTGTACGACTATATTTAAAAAATGGAACTGTCAAGTTTCACCTGTCACCACCTTGTGTCCGTAAAGAAGGGAAACTAAGACCACAAAACATCGTGTCCCCTTGGAGGATTTGTAGTTTGCATTGTGACTGACTAGTGTGCGATGTGAAGTCCTGTTGATGAAGTCCATAAAACCTGGTTTGATTAACGAACAAACAGTTGACAATTAGCTACCTATGTGTATTAATGGTAATTATCCTGTGTACTAAATCGCTGACGGAATTATGCATTTTTAGTAGTATTCGAATTGGTTCAGCTGCAGTACTCTTGGGACGATTTAATATTTTTGGTTTTGTCACTATCTACCTAGTCTTTCTTACATACGAGATTTCAACTTAAAAGACGTGTTATTCAGCTAGCTATCTCTACTAAAGTGCTGCATCAAAAAAATAGCAAACGTTAATCAAACTTGGATTTATCATGTTTATGAGAGTATTTTTCATACCTTGTCAAAGTTGTGGTCCGTAGAGAGATCATTCATATAGTTCAGGTGTAGGGCAGTGTTCGCTTCAGAAAAGTGCATTAAAATTACGGATCTCACTAATAGGTGGTTAAGTTACTTCTCTCTAACATCAGTCTGTTATTCTTAAATTCAATGAATTCAAAACTCGAGCATCTGAGTACTACCACTGCGTAGTTATTGGTAGTTATATAAAGTAGTTTCCAGAACTATTTGGGCTCTGTCGTATTTCCCCCATGTATTACCTCACTCTTGCTCTGTGTTGTATTTCGTCTCGTATCATAAAATATGTGTTGACAGCTAACAAATGAACCCTAGTTGACCTTTGGGTCTTGTTAAAGTAGTAGTAATGGTTGTTACCAGTTTTTAGCAGACTGAGAACACTGGTTTTTTGTTGTAGTACTACTTTGCTTGTAATGATGATGCCAAACCTGGTATCTCTCTCAAGTGTAAGGGAGTGGTTTGACTGTGCCCTGACTTTTAGTTTAAACATCGTGCTAACAAAATTTACATAGATTTACGGGAGCATCACATGGTATCTTCTAACTTGCATCGTCTTTGACGTAGGTGATATCTATCTATCCATCAAAAGATGTATGTACTCTATGTTTTCATCCTTTGTGACAACTGTGGTGGTAGGTGGAACATATAAAAAAAATTAGTCGTCTTTGGTCTTAGGTGCGTTATTCCAATCTGTTGTTAGATAGAGCATTATGATAATGAGATCAATTGGGGCTATGAGGTTTCTTCCACTGAAGTGGTTATTCCATCGCCTTCCTAGATGGGCGATGTGAGTTTTAATAAGGTAAAGTTGGAAGAGTTAGGTCTTCAGATGGGAAATTGACACCAATCAGTGAAGTTTTTGATTGCTTGTCTGAAACATATGAGGAGGTGTATGATGCTTAACTGAAGTCCTTGGAGTGTTAAAAATCAATGGATGGAAACTCTTGGTGATATGGTGGAAATCCGTTCCCAGGCGTTCAGGTGTGTTCACTGCTTATTATCATCTAGATTATGAAAATGACTTATTTTTATGTATAGACAACATACTTATTCGATGGTGAAACTAGTTGCGATAGTCTTTGGATGACAGACTACTACTGCTTTATTGAGTGGTAATGGAAAGTTTGGTAAAACTCTGGGCTGCGGCACGATTCGAAGTAGTGGGTCGTGAGTACGGCGCTTTACTTGCTGAGCAACGTGAATCAGTTACTAACCAGGTGGCCATTTCATCGCATTCATCAAACTGATTAACTACTGGGCCGCGTAGTTCAGTTAGTTGAGCGTCAGACTGATAGTCCTGTAGCCACTGACTCTAATTCCACCTCAATCCAGACTTTTATCACAACTCATTACATAATTATCATTTCGACAATTCTCCTTATATATATATATATATATATATATATATATATATATATATATATATATAAATATATATATATATACGTAAAATTGGACTAATATTTATGTAGTAAAGTGTGGTCTTACAGTTCTGGGAAAGTGTTTTCACTACTTATGCACAAGATGATCACCATTCAGCGATTTTATGACTGATCTGCGCTTTTTTTCTGTTTTAGGTTGTTGTTGAGCGTCATCTCAACTCCCAAATAGCAGACATTGACAAACATAAATTTCTTGTTCCAGACGATGTGACAGTTGCACAGTTTATGTGGATCATTCGCAAACGTATTGACATTTCACCAGAGAAAGCTCTTTTCCTGTTTGTTGGGAAAACGATGCCCCAGGCTAGGTAGGTATATATGACAGTTTACTTGTTTTTAGTAGAATAAGCTATTTTATGTTTTCATATGTTGCTAGGATGTGATTTTTTTGTCTGTATAGTTTGCGTTGTTTTTGAGTAGGTGGGTGGCAAAAACTGATTGATCCTTTGGATTCGATGTTCATGTTGAATGTATTCAAGTACTTTAGTAATTTAAAACAGTTCAGACCATAGAAGGTCTCTTCCAGTTAAAATATGTCACTCAGTCACATCTCCATATGAATCTCTGGTAAAAAAGCAAAATAATGTAACTTATCACGTAAGGTCTGTTTAACTATAGTAGACACACGTGTTACGCAAAACCGGAATGAGGACGTGATGTACACTTAGGATACTCAAGGATAACTAAAAACACCACTTTCTCTGTAAAGTGACCAACTAATGAGACACTATAGCATGTGTATCTCTGTTTCTGTTAACTAAAATATTCGACAGTAGCGATAACAAATTTCTTTGTTGTGGTTCTACTAACTGCTATTACTAGATATTACACTGTGTATTTTTGTGTAACAAGCTGAATCGAAATAATGAATACAAGTAATTCTTAGCTTGATAAGAAAAAAAAGTTGACTACATCGGACGGATGTGATATGATTCAAGACTAATAGAGAATTTACCAAGTTGTCCATCTGAAATCACCTTGTGTTACGGTGTTTCTATTGTGTATTCCCCGGGAATTGATTTGGTATATACTAATGACTGTATGGACATCTCTTGTTCTGCGTACCATTGCATTTAATTTTTGCTGTTATTGAATAAGAATGTAATTAAAACATATAGCCACGCATTCATAGCCTCTGCCAGGTAAGTCCTATTGACTGCATTTAGGTGGCGAGAGCATTCCTCACAAAATTGAAGGAGCAAATGCAAACGTCTGGCGCTTACAGCCAAACTGGCGCACATGCTAGTCTTCCTGGAAGACGCTGGTCCTTAACATAGGGTTACGAATCGAATGGCATGTGAACCTATTTCGGTCATCAGAAACCATGGGGACGCAGATCCTGAGGCTGCTCTACTGACTTAAGGGTCAAAGGATCCGGGGTAGTTCCTTAAGACCACCACTTCAGCGTGCGCATCCGCACAGTATCGCTGCCTTCGTACAAACTATGATATTTTGTGTAGCACATCTCTTGCCGCCTATAATGTACCAAGTCTGTATTTTAATGACAATAATGGAAAGAAGAGATGCTTTTAAGCTTTAGAAGTTTTTCTCTAACCTAATTATTTCTTGCCTACACTTTCTTTAACTCTTATAGTGCTACAATAGGACAACTGTACTCTGATTTCAGTGATCCTGATGGATTTCTGTATGTGAGTTACAGTGGTGAAAATTCTTTTGGGTCAAATATGAAATTGGACGTTTTCTGAATGTGAAGATTTTACTTGGAAAATACACTTCTCCATCTGTGAGTATGACTTCCAGCTTGCAATTATTGTGAAGAATATATTTTAATTTCAATGGTTTTGTTCTTAATTATTCTTCTATATCAAAACAGTATTGTTATTGGCTAAACTATCTTTGGGAGTTTTGTTTAAAAACTTTTACTTTATCAAAATTTGTTTCTTCATCAGATTCATTCATATTTGTTGTTTTTTCTTTTCTTTTTTTGGTTCGACGGCTGTGTATAAGTTATATTGTTTGGTGTCTCCTTAGAGACTCCGAACCATTTTAATAAAAAAGCTTATTCCCATTGCGCTCTCGCATATAAGTGTGTGTGTGTGTACTCATTTATAGCGCATGTCGTTTATGTTGTGCTCAACAGACCTATATTTTAATCATGCCGTTTTTACAAGTGTTTATCCTTCCTCAACTGGAAATATTTTATTGTGTATATTGCGAATTTATTTTATCTAGTAATATTCAGTTATATTGTTTAATTCTTTCTGCTAATTATATGAACAGGTAATTATTTATTTGAAATTATATGTGTATATATCCTTGTTTAAATACTTGTTCTTATCAAAAGAAGGCGTTTACGTTCAATTGGTGTAAGTCACTGATTATCCCCATATACAAGAAGGGAGACAAGTCTTCCTGTGATAATCACAGGGGGATTAGCTTGACTAATACAGTATCTAAAATCCTAGGCTCAATAATCATGCGTAGACTAAGTGGTACTCGGGAGGCACAAACACGAGAAAGCCAGGCAGGCTTTAGACCAGGAAGAGGGTGTATTGATCATATCTTCACCCTCCGACAGATTCTAGAACATAGGCATTCCTACCGGCGTCCAACAGTCATTATATTTCTTGATCTAAAGGCAGCATTCGACTCTGTCGATCGAGAAGTTCTCTAGCGATGCTTGGCTGTAAATGGAATACCAAGAAAATACATTGGACTGATCAAGGCACTCTACTCGTACTCATACAGCCATGTGAGGGCTTACGGCGAGCTGTCATCTGAAGTGGTGACGACCAGTGGTGTCCGTCAAGGATGCCCATTATCCCCTTTTCTATTCAACTTCATCATAGATGTACTAATGGACTTAACCCTAAATGACTTCAGAGACTCAGGGATTGACTTCCTACCAGGGAATAATCTCGTTGACTTGGAATATGCAGACGATATAGTCCTTCTAGGCGAGGACGCTGACAAAATGCAGAGTCTTCTAAACACCTTGAGCAGCAATCTACGAATGTTTGGCATGCGATTCGCTCCCGCCAAATTTAAGATGATGTTACAGGACTGGACTACACTGACTCATAGTTTAGAAATAAGGAGTGAAGTGGTAGAGCATGTTGACCGCTTCACTTACTTGGGAAGTACCATCAGCCCCAACGGGTTGATATCTGACGGTATCTCAGCAGGATACAGAGGGCTAGTTTCGCATATGCCAGTTTATGCCGTCTCTGGCGTAGACAAGATATTCGACTATCGACCAAAGGGTGGGTGTACTGCTCATCAGTCCGCTCCGTCCTCCTTTATTGCTGTGAGGCCTGGCCACTGAGAGTAGAAGACATGAAAAGATTAGCTGTCTTTGATCATAGGTGCCTGCGTTCTATCTCCCGTGTGAAGTGGCATAATAAGGTAAGCAATATTGAGGTTAGGCGTCGAGTGCTAGGTAAACGGGAAATCAATCGACGAAGTCGTGAAGTTACAAAGACTGAGATGGTTAGGACATGTGTTACGTATGCCAAGTCATCGCCTCCCTCAACGAGCAATGTTAGCGGATATAGGGTCAGGCTGGAAAGAGCTAGCGGCGGTCAAACCCAAACATGGCACCAGTCAATGAAATCTACAACAGTTAGTTTAAGCCAGTCACGTAGGAAGGTGTAGACTTCCTGGTTGGGGTCCTCGGGACGGTAAAAATCAATGGTTGGAAACAATTGGTGATATGGCTCAAAATCGTTCTCAGTGGCCCAGATGCATCCACTCGTTGTGACTTACGGTTTCCAATGAAACTGTTTTGTTCTTCGTTATTACTTTTCATTTGTCTCACCTCTGCCTACTGTCTCTATTATGCTTTTCTTGTACTTTCTTCTCTTGCTTTGTGTGCTACATGGAGTGTGGCAACTTGAAGTGCCGCACATATGTGTAGAGTTCTATGTCGAAAACAGACAGTTTCCGTTCAGTTATCATTATTGTTGAGTTACGTTCCACATAGAGTTGAGGAACAACGATATAGAGTGTACGACGTACTTGCATCTGATGTAATAATTTCTGTCCTTGACGAAATCCAACAGGAACCCTATTATTTGAATAACAGTAGTTATAAGTGTTGATTACTTTGCTTCTTTGCACAATGATGCCATCCACGTAAAGGTTTTGTGAAGAGTACAGGATCAGGAATTAAGTACTGCGTCTCAGATTCCTGTTGTTGTGGAACCGAAATACAATCATACGCCTTAGCTTCATCTCAAAAGTCATCCCGCATTTCGTTGTTCTCCTTGTTGTTATACTCTTCTGCTTTCTTTCTTTCTTTTCTATCGTATTTGTTATTTGATTCACACTGGTGAGTAGTTGTGAACTGGAGGAGCTCGCTGCTCAGGAGTGTCGAGTTGTGGGTGTACGTATCTTCCTTCTCATGAGTCATTGTACCCACATAAAGTGGTCTACTCGGCGGCTTTTAGCTGATCATCATCTTTTTTGAACAAAGCTTCGTTCAAATTCACTAAAGAGAAGTTTTATGTTGAATTATAGCTTTTCTAGTGTAGAAAGAATAACCGGTTCATCACCCACTAAAAACAAAGATTTCTTCGATCTCAACGAAATATTTTAAGAGGAGATATTAGCCACGTTTGTCTCAGGTATAAGATTTGCTAGTTACTGTTAATGTAATTACAAGACTATATATAAGGAAAGTAGCCTGTCACTGATGTGAATGTAACGTCTTGTTGCTGAAGATATACCGTAATATACAAATGTCAGGCGAAATAAATAGTGTTTCACTTACTATTTTTTTTATAGAACTTATGCAAGTCAGCTAAAATTGTACTTTCTAGGCAAAAGTTTATTTTCACGTGAAATGGTCACTTGTTTCTGTTAGTTTCACACCATTTATTATCTTACTAAATTTTAAAATCAAATATGCACACATGACTTGTATTGTTGCTAACTGATACATATATTGTGTTAGATTGGATGCATATGATGAATTCCCTGATAAAACACCCTTTATTTTCGCTGTAGTTAAGGCTGCATTACTTTCTTGAATCATTTCATATTTTAACTAGTAATAGTCCTTCTCTTTAGAAGAGTCAGGATGGTTTGTGCGTGAATACCGTTGTAATTGCGTAGGTAGACCCTAGATTCATTCACTGAAGTACTCGGTTTTCAAATATTCAAATTGTAATTATGATCTCCGCTCATCTCCTGTCAGTGCTTAGATATATCCGTTGGTGGTCAGTGAGCCTATGTTCTTCATAACGCCCACATGTAGTTTAAAAAGGTGGATGCCTTGTACAATTTAGTTTTAATTATAATGTCTCTCAATTTTAGTCGGTTTGGGCCCAATTGTCTATCCGATTTTTTTGCCTTACCTCTGTTGACTAGTCCAGTACTACTCCACTTCTTAGTGCTTATATTTTTCACATAGTTCACATTCTATAGATTGTGTAGATCTATGGTTAAGTGATTTAAATACTTAACACTTTCTAATTACAATATAGTGTACTTTAGAGGGCCATACACAGTATAATAATAGGCTAGCATAAAACTTAATACTTCATGTAGGCTAGTTACGGACTTGTGCAGCCGTATTTTAAAGCAAATGTATGTACTTAGAATTTAATGGGTGGATGGTGCCTAGAAGTGGAATCCAGGACAACGCGCATTTCGTCCCATTTGCGACTCGTCAGTTGGATGTACCAGCATTCCCCATTGAGTGATGATGTTCCCACCGAGGTTCGAACCCAGTGCCCATCCTGGATTCCACTGCTGGTCACCATCCGCCAATTAAATTCTAATTATACGCCCAGACATCGTCGAAGCATCTGCACAAGAAGCCGACATGTCAACCTGGTGAACCCAATATCTTCAAAAACATTGGTGTTTAGTGGTTGGACACTCGTCAACCACTCATGCCGTCCGGGATTCATTTCCTGGTTGGTGCATTCACAAACCTTTCTTAGGCCCTAAAGAGGTACGCTTGGGCTTGAGGCTAGGAACAACTGCTACTCGAACTTCGAAGCTCAAGCTTTGGAGCCCTGTGTTTGACTCAGAACAGAAAAGGGATAAAAGTTTTTTTTAAATATTGAGAGCGAAATGATCGAGGTAAAATGTCTTCACAAAATAAATATTTATTTTTAAGCAACCCTGGTTATGGTTGTTATTAGCACTTAATAGACACTGTTGTTGTGTGCAATTACAAAAACAGGATTTTTTTAACACAGCACACCCTGATACAAGAATAATAATTACTGAGAAATCTGTAAGTGTTAGTTTGTAGAGGTTTGATCATGGATTGATGTCAGCTAGAGACTCCCAGTGAGAACCATCAGGGACTACTGGACAGTTGTTTCGTCCTTGTCCAAGACTTTCCAGTAGCAGTACAAATCCAGGACCTTCAAGTTATAAGGCCAGTCCGCGGACCTCACTGATCACGACTTCTCACTAGGACTCAAGGCAACATCATCGTTTTGATCAGTCACTAGTGGACGTCACACTAGTCCTGGGCTGTATTCCCAGCGGCGTCATGGGTGCTTACCGATGAAGAGTCCCAGGTTAGGGCGAAACAGCTGCCCAATACTCCCCCTGATAGCCTATAGTGGTCCTCCAAATGATATCACTCCGTTATGATTACTGTTAAATATCCCAAGTATACTGTTATGTGATTGTAAACAGTAAAATGTGCTCGGAAGATTATTATTATTATTATATCATCGTGCACAGTGTTGACCAGGGTTAATGCATTTTATCGAATTATCTTCGCTTTTACAGTAAATGCAAAACAACAAGGTCGGGCAA